ATTTTGCATCCCAGTGAAAGAGCACATGACGCCCTTGAGGCATATCCTATCCCCTCCGTGAGGACCAACTGTTTCAACAAGTACGCTGTTTAGAGGGGATGAGAAAATACAGGACAAACTCGTATGAAGAGCAAGCTTTGGAGGGAGCAGAGGGAAGGCTACAGGTAAATAGCTCACCTAGGGCAGGTCTCGTTCAGCTGAAGGTTAGGAGGTGAATTCCTTGGGGAAGAGACACAGGGTTGGTTAGAGAGCCATGTGGACTAAGGGAGCTTCATTTTTGTCCTGAAAACCCAGGTAAGAGGGGAAGAAAGCCAGGCCCAGTATTGGTTCTGATTTCGTTCCTGTTTTTTTTCTCTCTCTAACCACAAACTCAAGTTTCATGGGTTATGAATTTTTAAGCTCTCTATTATTCAAAATAAGATATTAATGTCAGAAATTAGAGGGGGGGGAACAAGTGGGCTGGGATAAAAAGAGGTTACGCTAGGTCAGGTGAGGAGGTAACAGTACAAAATGTAATCAGAACTTTACGGGCTTCATACACCCTCCTATCTCCTAGGGATTATCTGTCTGACCAGGTCCTGTTCGAGTCTGGCTTGGCCTAGCCGACTCTTCTCTCCTGGTTCATGGCAACTGTGTTTGAATATCCTTTGTGGGTCACCCATCATGAGTTAGAGCTGGGATTAGCCTAATGGAGGTGTGATAAGATTCTCCCACAATATTTCTACCGATGATGCATTTCTATGAGTTATAGCTTGACATATTTTGATAACTTATCTGTAACAAAAAGGTTAATAGCTCATGACTTCCTAATAGAGCAAAACTTTGATCAGTGTAAAGCAACATTTTGGCCTAATTTTATAATTTCCCCCTTGCGTTCTTTGTGTTATTTGGTCACTCCTGCTGTTTACATTTTTAAATTTGTCTTGGCTCATCTTTCTGTAATGCTAGTTTATTCTCTAGCAATTAAATTTATTAACCCAAATGGGGAGTATTTTGCCTTTTACTGATGTTTACATGTATTGTCAGGATTAATAGGTTTTATTTTATTTCTGTAGTCTTGTTTATGCTTTTGGATTTTTGTAGGTTTTGCTGTTTTTCCTTTTCTAAAGTTTTTTTATATTATTTTCTCTTTTTTTAAGGTATTGGTAGGTATTGATTGTGTTTGAATTATGCTTGTGGTTATAGCTTTTAAAAGAAATGATCTAACCTCTATTTCTGAGTTTCACATGTCAGCGATGAAACAGAATCTTTAACTTTGATTTGAATAGAATCGACTGCTCGCTAAGAAAAATGAGCGATTTAGTATGTTTATCATCCTCTGTTTACCACCCGTTGCTGTGAAATGCAAACAGTCCCTTTTTTATAGCTGTCAGACCTGCGGTCAATACTGAAGGCATAATCTACAGTTACACAGCGCTCGCTTGGTCTTTGAAATGTACACAGTGCAAATTTATGAATGGGTTAGTCATGTTCCCACAAACATCTGTGTCCTGTGTCATACACGTCCGTGCTACAGTGTTCCCGATCGCTTAGAACTTTTGTTGATAAGTGAGAATTCATAGATGAATCTTGTTCCAAAGTTTAGGCGCAGGCATGATCAGTTAAAAATAAGTTTTAAAATCTCAGAAAACTCTCACCCAGTGCCCAACAGAACCTTAGGAAACTTTTTATGTGTCGGCCCTGTGTTTTATTGGTCTTGTCATATGTAGTAGAATCGTTACATACGTCAAAGGGTGCTTCTCATTATGGTAAAAAAATGAAACAAAAGGTGCTTTCCCCCCATTGCCTTATATCCTGAAATAGCCATAATGTATACACAGAGCAGCAGAAGAACAGGGAGTTTAATTTTTCCTAACTTGTTTTAAAAGTACAGTGCAGACAGGCTAAACCCAGCTGGGAATTCTGAGAGCCACAAGTGCCACGGACAGTGTAGAGTTAAGCCCCGTTCAGAGCTGACTTTTTAGAATATTTACATGGTGACGTTAAGGGGAGGTGTATTTTTGTTTGTGTTGCCTCAAATCTTCTCCTTTGAAGATTAGGATAGCTGCTTAGTGACTACATTTTTCTTTTTAATCAGTGATACATTTTTGTAATTCAGAAGCATCTGATACTTGTCTTAATCAAAAATTTAATACTATACACATAAAAATCTATATTAACACAACAGCCCAAATGTATAGTCCTAATTAGCTGTTTACCCATCTGATTGGTATAACTGGCATTAAACTATATCATTTGAAACATACTGTTTAAATCAGATTTTACGTTTTAAAAATTACCTTCAGTATGCATATGTCCTTATGAACTTAACTTCTGCAGCTAATTACTATTTCCTAATACTTTGTGTCTCTATACTTGTAATATTTTCCATGATAAGAGATTCTCAAAATATTTGAAAGAAAACATGAACAATACATGAAAACATTTAACATTATATTTATTTTTGCAATTGCCATACTAAACGGTTTATCAAAATACCCACCCTGGCTTTTTCTCACTCGTCCTTTCCAAGCATAAAAGGATTTTAGGCTTAGGGGACATTTTACCCAAGCTGTAAAGCTGTGCGTAGTCTGGAAGATCTATTTCAAATTAAGCAACCTTAGAAACTAAAAACAGAACAGAATGATCAAGCAGCTCAGCACTTTCGTGACCCCATTTTATTGTGTTTTCAAGGTGTGTTATGGTCATTGTATTCCAGTCATGGGGAAAACTAAAAGCAGCAATTAATTCCACCTGTCACAGATAACTTCTCTTGGTAGAATCTCCACGTGCAAAGAACATCATTGAAATCTTGCGGTATTATCTTAATACCAAGAAAAATTGCCAAATTCGATGATTCTTATTATACACACTAGGACTTAAAATGGCAGTATCACACACATCTCAAAATATTTTCATGGAATTTAGCTTTTCCTCTCACCGGCTATTCTTCATAGTTAAATATATATATATATTGAAACTACTTAAAATTTTTTTAAATTTTGAAAAAGTAGACCTATCACCTAGACAGTACACTTCCTATTATGAAATTAATATACTCCACGTTTCTGAGTTCTGTGGACTGCCGTTCACCAGTTTACAGAAACCTTCAAAATCCATGTCATGGCAGTGTCATGTCCCAGCTTGGGTCGGATCCACTTCAAGGCATGACGTGGCAATGCAGCGATTACAAGGTGGTAAAACGCACAGTAGGGCTGGTACGCTGAGGGTTAGGTCTACAGTCATTTGGGTAAGTGCTCTTCCAAACTGAGAATGACAGATGACCACTAGATGGCGGTGCTCTAACTGCCACAGAACTCGGGTTCTTTCTACTCCTGAGTCCGACTGTTTGGTTTAATGCATTCCCCACCGTATTTAAATGTGAATGACCAAATATTTTTTAGCAAACTTATAATTGGGAAAGTTTTCAAAGTGACCCTGGATGGTGGTATTGCGTGCATTTTACAGGCAGTTCAGTATGCGGTTCTGGGACTTGTCTGGTTTCCTTCTGTGGCACACTCCACATTTGACAGGCGAAGCCCCCCGATGTCACGCTGCTTGGGGACCAGCTGTGTCTGCGGAGGCCCCTGTTGCCGTTGGGCTTACTAGTTTCGGTCCTTCATAGGCCCTCACCTACACCTCAAGGTCTGGTGACACCACCAAGCAACACAGTAAGCTTGGGCCTCGCAGGCTTCTCTGGCGGGAAAATGTGTGGCCCAAGGTACCCTGAGAACAAAGACAGGTGCACCCTCAGCCCCAGCTCCTGCGTGGTTCGCCGTGTGGTTTCCTCACACAGCTTTGGCTTCTGCAGTCTGCCCAGCACAGGCTCTTGACGGATCTGAGGGGTTTTGCCGTTACCGAGTCCATTTGTAGGAATGAAAACAATTGCCTTTGCTGACCCCCTGGATTTTCCCCCACGTTTTCCTCTTTTTGTGGAAGTCCTTAGTGGGGACCTCACCTGAGGACCCTGCTTTGCCCCCTGCCCATGTCTGCAGCAGCTCGCGAGGAGAAATGTGAGCTCTGAGGGGCCGCAGTTTCTGTGGGGCTGCAGGAGGGCTGGCTGTTGCTTCAAAACTGGACTCTGAGAAGGTTCAGTGAAACCCTCCCCTTCAGGCTCGGCCGGCCGGTGCTAACGTGCTGCTGAGGCCCTGTCTGCCCAGGAACCATAATCCCCTCCTCCTTCCCTCCCCTGTCGCCTCCCCCTTTTCCTCCTCCATCAGTTTTTAAAAACTGCTGAGCAACTGAAGTTACCAGTGATAACTTTCTCTTCTGAGTTTTCTCCCTCGGGACCCATTTCTCCCCTCCCCCGTTTTGGTTCTCAAGAGGAAATTATATCTCCTTTAAGCAACTAAATATTTGATTCGAGGACCATTTTCTACACCTGTTTGTCCTGTATATCTGTTTATTGGCAGCCTAAATACTGTAATGCTACAGTGCCAGTCGAAGCCTCTTTAAATTAGCACCACCATCTAGCTTTGGACTTGGAAGTGACCAGTGAGTTTCAGTAGAGGGCTTAGCGGGACCATACGTAACTGCCACTGTAGGCTTTCCTGAGGTAAAGGGTCCTTCTGCACAAATGGAGGTCTCCATCAAGGTCGTCTGGTCAGGCTCAGTCAGTCACACCTCTAGAGGGCCCTGGTTTCACTGCTAATGTTAAGTGAGCATAATGACACCTATATAAATAAAAACACCCCCAAAACTACTGTTCAACTACTAGTGTTCAATATAACACAAGGATACACTCATACATGGCCAAAGAGATTCATTAGAGTGGGTCTCTCCTGGGGGGGTCATGAAGGAATGAACGCGAGAATCAGAGCAAAGGGGAAAATAAATCAAGAGAAGCACCTTGGATAGATCCATGACGAGGCATGTGACTTGATCCCTACTTTATACTGGACATCAAAAGAAAAAGGGTGTATGAGACGGAGGGGAGGTATTTTTGCAAATCTCAAAAAACTAAAGGTAATGAACGGCTCGCACAATAACCACTGGTGTGACTATATAGGTTTCACATTTATTCTGATCATTGGCAAACAAAAAAACACAGAAACAACACATTATCTAGAGTCAAATTCATGCATATCATAAGGTCTGTTAGTTTGAGCCTGAACTCAAAGTGACATCAGGTGTCCCGGGAGCAGCAAGAAGGGTGGGGCCATTTATTACGGTTGGAATAGAGCACACCGGGTTCCAGCCACGGGGTCTTCCAACACACACACACACACACACACACACACACACACACACACACAAAGATGCCAAATGGTAGAACCCAATCTAATTATTAACTGTGTAACGCATGACATATTATATAATCATCAAGCAGGAATCCAGTATTGACATTTGTATTCTAGCTTAACAGTTACATTTATGACTCCTTATCACTAAAAATGTGTGTTGTAGCAAATTACTTTCTACCACTCAAATAATGAGAGGTAAAGTCCAACTTGAACATATCCGCAGGGATATTCCCAACACAGAGTGGCTGGCAGAAAATATGAATAGAGAGAAAGAGAGAGTTTCCTTTTACATGGGATGTAGAAACCATGGTTTCACAGGTAATGAAACAGAACCAGATTTCTGCTTTCCCCTCTTCACTCTTTCCAAATTGGAAATTAGGCCCAGTGCATACATTTGTTATATTTGCATTTAATATATAAGAAATATATACGTAGGGAGCCCTGCTGTGGTAGGTAACTATGCTAATCTAAGGGTACTGAGTTTTCGCCCTTACTGCTCTCAGCACAGAATTCCATTTGCTGCTCCTTTGTTCTAACTGCTCTTTCTTATACCTGTCCTGAAAAGAACTATGGTTATCTTCATCCTCTGCCTCCGAGATGATTTCCATCTTCTGAATGATGAGTTTAATAAGCTCGTGCTGTTTTTCCAGAAGAGAAGTCAGATCCTTCAGCCTAAAAAGACGTAGACAGTTCATGAATTTATTCTCAGTTATCCTTCTAGCCCCTCTGAGTGCAGAAAGGCCTTGGTCCTAGACGTGTTCTGGATCAGGTGACCTGTGCCCAGGTTACACCCTCAATGGCAGTCAGATTCCTTCTAAGGAATACATATTTTTAAGGTTGAAGTGATTTTCCCACCGTTATGCTGTGGGTTCATGGCTGGCTTATTTTTGTTCCCATTCTAAAGATGAAAACACTGCTGCACAGAAAAGGTAAGTGGCCAGACCCAGGGTCATTCCATTAGCAAATAGTTGAGTATGGCCCTGAAATCAGGTAATGAACCCTAAAGCTCTCACACTCACCACTGTCTACTGCATAGCTTCTCTGGGGGTCCTCAAACACTTTCAGGGCTTTGATGTATGAATTCAGGTGACTCATGAGAAATGCAGCTTATAGTACCGATTGGCAAATAGCAAATAAGTTATTGGGTCTAAAAAATTATCTCATGATTCTCAGTCTAGTAGCAACACTAGTCAGTTAAAGCAGCCTTAATACATGAGATAAATAAACGCAAATACACAGTATAACCTTATATTATGCATCATTATTTAAGAGTTTTAAATTTTCCACATATAGATAAAAATAAAAGACACATACCGGTATTTCTGCTTCAATATTTCTACTTCTAAAGATGTATCGACATTTGGTATTTCTTGTCTTGCTTCTTGGGTGCAAAAGATATAATAAAATACACTCTGTGGGATTAAAGAGTAACAGTTACTCATGTTAAACTCAGATCAGGAACTATTTCTTGAACACATGCTATCGTGCAGCTACTGAGCCAGCCACAGTAGCACAAACGTTTTAAGACAGAGCCGTGGCCCACATGGAGCTCACAGCCTATTGAGAAACAGATATGTAAAGAGCTATGTAACGAAATCATACATATAAAAGAGGAAACCACAAGATGTATAAATAACACAGGAGGAGTGAACTGGAGTGGAGGATTGTTTAGGAAAAAGCTTTAACTGCAGCATTTAATCTTTTCTCATAAAAATGCCCATCACAAGTAGTGGTATTTTATACCGGATTAGTCGTTATTTCTCCAAAACTGTTCTGCACCATTAACCAACACAACTGAATTACACATGGGGAAATTTCTGAAATGCTGTTTTAATATATTTTTAGAATTCAGCATCTTTAAACCATTGGTGGACTGGAGAGGTTCCAGGGCAGATGTGAAATGACCAGGAATGAGGTAATTCTAGGAGTCCAGGCAAGAGAAGATGGCCACTTGTACAGGCCACCCAGGAAGTCAGGTGGCCCAAGCCCGGGGTTGACCGGATGTGAAGGGAGAGGAAAGTGGGGGAGGGCGATGCCAAGCCTGACACCCTGCACAGGCAAATGAATGCTACGGACATTAACTGACATGAGAAACTATGGAGAAGGGTGCGCCTTCTTCACTCTTTCCCTATTGGAGATGTCGGGAGGGAATGACATGAGGGAGGGGTGAAGATCATGAGCTTGTTTTGAACAAGCTGATTTTGAGAAACCTTTGACACACCAGAGAAGGTGTTAAGTAGACAGGGGCCTGGGGCTCAGAGAAATCTAGGCCAGAGAAATCAATTGCCGAGCTTCTGTGTTTGGATAGTAACTGTAACCATGGATATGAGTGAAATCAAATAGGGAGAGAGTGTAGAGTCAGGATACAGCCTAGGCTGATACTCAGATTGACTTTATCATTTTATGACTACACAGTGGAAAGTTAACCTACAAAGAACACAGAAAGGATATTCATAGAGGCAAGAGGGAGCCCAGCGACAGTTAGGATTAGTGTCCAGTGCTTCTGACTCTTAGTGTATCGTCCCTTTTCCATTACAGTGCAGTGGCGTGGCTTAGCCTCTGTATTTTCTATATGTGCACTCCGTGTGTGTGTGTGTGTCTGTGAATATGTACATGTGTGTTCTATATATGACACACACACACATTAAGCACGTATGTATATAAGTGACATGTGATTAGGAAACACAAGGTGTACCTGCCCTGTAAACTAGGTACAGTGAAACCTTGGATTGCGAGTAACGTGGCTGGCGAGTGCTCCGCAAGACGAGCAAGCGTTTCTAACACATTTTAACGTGGTCAACGAGCGATGTCTTGCAATATGAGTAGTTTGTTTCCAGAACGAATTATGCTCGCAAACCAAGGTATATCTCTAAGTCCCAGTGGTACAGCTGGTCTACCCACCCATCTCGCTCACAGGGACCTGGTACCTATTTAACGCTGGAGCTGAGGATGAGCCACGTAGGAGACACAGGCCTTGCTTTGCCCTGCCCATCACTTCCACAGTCTGGGTTCATCATGCGCTTTTTTTTAAAGCACAATCATTTATTTGCCATAGGCAGAGTGACTCAGAGTCTATGAAAGGGCACCCAGGGAGAACGCGATGAATAAATGCCAGACAGTGTCACCTTATTTATGTCCGCGGTTGTTCCATGTACTTACTAATAACCCTCTACCGTATCTGCGTCTGTTGGGATACACGGTGGTGGATTTCTGATCCACTTTGCGCAGGAACCAGAGTGGCAGCTTCTTCTCCAAGTTGGTGTGGAGTTCCACCTAATGTGCGTTGTGGATTTACGGATAGGATCATTAGTTAGCACCGGGAATTCTCACACGGCACAGAAGCCATCGTCAGTGCAGCCAGCTGGAAACCAGCTCCCGCAGCCCGATTTACACACGAGCAGCCAGGGTGCCGGGTTTCCTTCGCCCCTAGCTCCTGCTCTCTGTCCTGGGCTGGCTCCCTGGCCGGCCATATGGTGACTTAAAAAGAGGCACAGGCATTTTGCAACTTCTCTGCTGAGATGGTTGTAAGAAACGGTTTTCATTTTTGATTCTCTGACTGCAGCAGGCACAGAAGTGCTCCCCAGCCCTGAGAGCCCATGTTCACCAGCTGTGTCCCCAGAAACCAGCTACTCTCATCTGTGAATAATGAGGAAGGTGCTCCTGGCAATGAGTTTTAAGGAAATGTGGTACTTACCTGCATAGCAATCCTCTTCAACAGTGCGTGCTTCTGCACCTCAGCAATGTCACCGACTGCCAGGCCGATCTGAAGCGCAACAGCGTTGAGTCACTACCAGATTAATGGCTCCCCTAAAGATGCATGCGAGTTCTCTCTAGCTGCCTTGGGGGAGCGGGCATGGAATGTCCTTTCAATGGCCTCAAAACTCTTTTGGTGGAAACGCCTTACAGAAAACTGCAAAGCCCATGTACCTTTGTAACAGTGATGGCCACATCGGGGGGTCAGGTAATCTTAAGTGTTATCGTGATAAGTTAAGACATACAAATTAATTTGAGATCCATTGTAATTTAAAGTAAAAAAGTGTTCTTTTTGGAGAGGACAGTGCTGATGGGATATCCACTGCAGTTGGTAGAAGCATGGAATATGCTGGGAGCTCCATGAGTTTAGCATCCGAAGTGAACAACAGCGACTTGACCACATGGGAAACGTAAAACACTAAACTGAGGGGATGTAAGAATTGATATCTTACATATGTGTGGCAGGAAAGGCACACTTTAGGGGTGGCTGAGGTCCTGGTTAAAAAAAAACAACCAAAATACTCTATCTAAAAATCCACGGCTAGATAGAAGTAGGTGAAGGGCAGGTGTCAGCTCAGTTCCACTCAATCCAAATCGAATCAGCTTACATTCAGTCACTCTTGCATTATTTGTTAGACACTCAGCACCTGTCTGCCGAACCAGCCCCCCGCTTGCTGCAGCCCGAGAGGAAAAGACAGCCCCTGCTCTCAAGGAGCTCAAAGCCAAGTTAGCTCTACGAAAGAAGGGCTCCGTCTGCCCAGGTCACCACCACATCCCCAGGGCTTAGAAGAGGACAGGGTGCATAGTAGACACACAGAAGATCTGCTGAATGAATGAACAGTGAAAGAGTATGTTCTAGGGTGTGCAAACTAGCACTGAGAACCATATGTAGTCACCGAGGAGGTTTTATTTGGGAGGATAATGTGTTTTTGCTTTTTAATTTGCAAGCCTCGAGATGGGCATTTTCTCCAGATCAGCCCCCATCTAAACCAGCTCTTCATCCATCAGATACTTGCCCCGGCTCTGAAGACATCTGAGCCTGTGAGTCACAGACTTACAGCTTGTTGAGTCATCTGAGCTGGTGAGTCTAATTATAAGTTGTTAATATAAGTTATTAATAAATATCAAATATTATTACTATTTAATAGCAGCCAACATTTATTGTGAATGTATATCGTGTTTGAAGTGCTTTGCATCAGCTCATTTTGTCCTCACGATAACCTAGGAAGTAGGCTTTATTATTATATCTTTTTCTGATTTGTGTCCTCAAAACTGGGATCACACAAGGAAGGGACACGGGATTCGGACTAGGGTGACAGGTGGGAAGGCTGGTTAAGAAAGTCCGCCCAGGGGAGATGATGCGTGAGCTGAATGTGGAAAGCTTAGAGCAAGTTAAGCCAAGGAGAGAGGGCTTCCCAGGAAACGGGAAGGCAGAGCCCAGGAGGCAGGAAGGGAGGCCTGACACACCCAGACAGTGTGCGTGGCGCGCGTCGGGACAAGACCCTGTGGACAGTGGGCAGTTGTATAAGATCTGGGTGAACTCCAGGTCACAAGCGCCCTTGCGTGCTACGCTCATGGGTTTAGACTGATTGAAGCTTTTGAAGAGTCACAGGAAAAAAAACAACTGAAAGAGCCACTGAGGGGCCCAGCTTTTCATTATCAGAATATCACTGTGGTGACAGTTTGCAGGAGGGATGAGACAGGGAAGAGAGATGAGATGGAGAGACTTCTGTCTCTGCGGCAGGATGGATGGGAAGCCATGAGGGTGCATGCTGCCTGGAAGTGGGTGTACAAAGCAAACGCTTACTGCAAGAGCTGAGGAAAGGAGGGTGGGTGCCTGCAGACCATCTTCCAGTGATCTGAGTCAGAGTTTCAAGGAAAGAGAACACTGTCTTGGCTCTGTTGGGTTGGGTTTTCCTCTGGGACATTTACGTAGAGATGCTCAGTGGCTGCTCGACATGTGGACCTTGAGTTTGGCACCGACCTGTACCACTGCTCAGCCAAGTTCTCTCCTAGGGAGTTATCTTCCAAAACATAAGAATGTGGGCTCTGTGACACTCTTTATGATTCTTAGTGCCATCTTTTATTCTTCTAGGTCACCAAAATAAAACTCCAGAGTTGTTCAACTAAGTGACTCAAACATTATGTGGTCTGTTTTTTTCTTCTTCTTCTTCCCAGAAGCACTGCCTAGCACGGTTCCTGGTGCATAGTCAGACTCAGAGAAAGTGTACTGAGCATATGCATGTATGAATAAATGAATAAGGAGAAGGCGTGCCCTGTGATGCCAGCCAGGGTTCTCCACGGACCTGGGCTGCTCATGGCAGGAGCAGGTTCTCCGTGGAAGGGCACATTCATGTCTGCTGAGGGTGGGCAGCCTTTGACTGGTCAAGAGGTGGCACCTGCACGAGAGGCTCTTCCCCCTTATATCTCTGGTCCATGAGAAACTCAGTAGTAGAGATGAGTTCTTACTCCTTCACTCTGTGAAAGTTTCTGCCTAACCTTTGACCTCCCCCTCAACACCCCAAAGCAGCACACACCATTCATTCTTCTTTACTTCCTTATTCTGTTTTTGTAATTCTTCGGAGCAGTTATCATCCCCAGGGCATCAGCTGCATATTTATTTGTTTACTACTTAACTTCGTGACTAGTTGAAGATCGTGCGAGGACTGGGGGTTGATCTGTTTTGTTCACCGCCGTTTCCCAGCACCCCCGATCAGTGTCTGGCATATGGAAGATTCTTGATAAAGATTTGCCAAGCAAATGCATCTGTGCATCCTCTGGGCCCCACGCTGTGCCTGGCACGCCCCAGGCACTAAATGAATGGCGAACGAATGAATTTTCTGGGTGTCCCTTTTTCCCTTAGAGGGAGAGTAAGGAGGCCGACACTAATCACCACTAAATGCCCCAACTGATCAACAAACAGGAAAGACAAGGATACATTACTTACCAGTAAATTCATGAGGACAATTGGGACAAACATGGTGAAGATAATAAGTTGTGCAAAGGATAGAAGCGGATATGCCAGCTCATTTCTCAAAAATGGTTCCAGGAAGGCATCGCGGTAATTAATGTCCCCCAGCATCATGCTGAAGGTCTGGATTATAGAAAGCAGCGGAGAGCTGAAGGCGTCCTGAGAAAAGACGGGAAGGTAAAGATGACGTGCAAAGTGCATACACTGGGAGAACGTTTCCTGGAGAGTGAAATGATCAAAATCATAGTTAAAGTAATTTTTAAAGTCATAGCACTATAGCTTCTAAAACGCAGTCATCAGAACTACTAATAAACTGGTGGAGAAGTCATCAGAAAGACCTGCTCGAATCACAATTCACCATGCGTTATATTATACATAAACTTTTCGACAATGGAAAAACATCCCTTAGTAGGACTCTGCTTTTTCCTGCAGTAAAAATCATTTGACTGCTAATACATCAGATAAAATTAACATGTTCAAATATCGTTGTGTTTATTCCTAATTTTCTACGGCACTAAGATTTCGGTATAGATGTATGTTCCCAGTCATCAGAGCAACCACATCAACCACTAACGTGGCTGCCTCACCTGTATGCTCAGGAGGACATAGAAGCTAAGTCCGAACGCCAAGAGAAGGAAGATAAACACAACGGTAGATCTCAACAGCGTCTTCATGATTACCTCCAACATAACGATGAAAATTCCACAGTTTTCAAATCTAGGGAAATTTGAAAGATTACAGTAGGTATTCACTTTTCTGGTCCAAGTGGATTTCGTTCAGTGTCAGTATTTCTCGAGCACTAGGCACAGTCCTCATGGACAAGCTCGCTGAGGCCAGTTGCTTTCAAAAGGGAGACGTGAGAATTCATGAATAGTCACGTCCGATGTTCAAGCTATTCAGCAGCCTGCTTTGTATCTTCTTTCCCCCCGCCCCTTCTTGTTCATGTTTACCTTTAACTGTTTTACCACTTGACCACTGGACATTCCTTCGACCAAAGTAGAAGAGAGAAACCATGGCTTCCGGGGATTAGAGAGAACACTGCCACACGCCTGACCAGGGGATCAGAGATGAGCTGTGTGGCCGTCCGGGGGGAGTGATGAAGTGAGCTCAGGCACCCCAGGGCATGTCCACGGCTCACAGTCACCATCCTCCCAGCTTCCTGAACTTTCCTCTTTCTCCCCCGGCCACCTGCACTATGAAGGGTCTGGGTAGATGGTGGGTCTCCTCCGGCCACTAACCTGTACTTTTCCTTTGGCAAAGACACCGCCTTAAAAGGGGAGTCCCACGATTTGCAAGCTGAAAGGGACGTCCGAGGTCTTAGAAACTAAGTTCCCAGAGACCCCCAGGAACTTGCTAAGGTCACTGAGAATGACAGAGCCGAGCGGTGGCACTGCCTGCACCTGTCTTGAAGCCTCTTGCCTCCAAGGCCACTGCCCTTCCCACCCTCGCATGTCCTTTCCAGAAGGCGGGGTTCAGACCACTGCACTGAGCTCATGACCCAGCAGTGGGGACTGTACGGTGGGGAAGGCCTGGTCCCTCAGGTCGGAGAGACCCTGGTAAAATGCCTCCATCTGACCTACTAGCTGAGAGCTTGGCCAGGTTACCTAACTCTTCTTTTTTTATATACACTGTGAGTAATCGCGTTTATCTCTTATGATTATAAAGATGATCTGAAATAACATATTCAACTCAACGTTAACAACGGTGGGAGGTAGGGGAGCTTAACCCCCCCTTTTTTCCCCTCTAGAAGTAGGTTCTTTGGGCTTTCTTGTTCTCTTCTATCACTATTACGCTCCACACCTAGCACTTCATTTTGTTTGTTGTAATCTAAAGTAAATGCTTGCCAAATAACACCAGGCAAAACAAGATTAGCCGATACTTTTATACCTGTTTACTCCCCACATTTAATCTAGGTTTGTCGAAGCCTGGGGTTCTTGCCCCGGGGTGATTTTGCCACCCATAGGCTAGTTGGCAATTTTCTGGAGACATTTTTTTTGTTGTCACTTGGGTGGGGGAGGGTTGCTACTGGCATCTAGTGGGTAGAAGCCAGGGATGCTGCTGTACACAGGGCAGCCCCCCACAACAAAGAGCTATCTGGCCCCAAATTTCAGTAGTGCCAAGGTCGAGAGAAGCCCTGGTCTACACACTGAACTCCAAACCACCCTCCCCTTTTCCTTAATGGTGTATAAAAGATATCGTCACGGTCTAAAACAGTTGGGCAAGGAATAAGCCAGTTATAAATTTGTGGTACTTGTAATAGTTCTTCTTTTGATATTAAAGACGCCTAAAGGAAGTAGGAATCATCCCAGCTGGCTTTACCTCTGAAGATATAATAAGAAGTTCATCCAATACAAGTAAATAGCAATCGCCCCACACTGCCACTGCACGTGAGCCGGTATGCCAACGAACAAGGGCGACACAAAAATGATGCTCGTTGTGTAGATGGTCCATTCAACTCCATTGCTGTGATCCAAAAAGTAATGCCTTTTCTGGGGTTGAAAAGAAGGCAGAGTTACCATACATAGAGACCAAGACGTGACGTCTTATGGACACTTTTCCAGATGTAGCTAGTAATATTTTCCTGGTGTTGCAGCTGAGATGTTTAGGACCAAGGAGCCAGCCCTGTCCCTCCTGAACTGAACTCGGAGCCCTGGGTGTGTATCATGGTTGGAGGTGGCCCAGTCTCTCTCTTCTCTTGACCTGGCATTTTGGGAGTCTGATGTCTAAGGAAATTCTACCAGTTTCTGAGTTTTCCTGTAGAGTCCACTGCATCTCAAGGGGACTTCAGGGGGGCTGCAAGTTAGTAATTGCTTTCTGCCTGTATGTGGACATGCATGCGGGCTTTTCAGGATACAGATGACCTAAAGCTGCTTCTGAGGACACCTGAGACCTGTGCTGAGACTCAGTTACCATAATGGTTTGGTGTCATTTCCTATTCTTAAGATGTCACATAGAGGAGACCGTTTAAATATCAATAAGAAAATGTGGAGACCATATCTGATAGAGAAATCGTATAATTTTACAGTTTAGAATCTGTAATTCTCATGTTTAAAAATGAAAATGACAAGAGAGATTAAATAATATGCCCTAAATCATTTAACATACAATGGAACAATACAGTCTAACTCAGAATTGTGACAATTTACTGAAAAAAATATATATATATGCACTTGCAATGTGCATATGAAACAAATGCACAGCACGATTATCATCATGCAAATACCCATGTGCTTATATTATGTAACAAAGTATATTTTCACAGAAAATGAGGTATTGTATAAAAGGTATATGTTATTAAAAAAAATAACAAAAAATACCCCAAAATTAAAAAAAAAACATACCCCCAAAATGAAAAATAACACTCAGAAATAAAAGACTGATGCCATTCATCAACCAAAGTGAGGACCTGCAGATAATTTACTTAATTCTTGGATTTGATCTGAACTTGATTCACCCATTTAAAAAAGTAGAGTATAAAATAAAAATTATGCTATAAAAAAGGTCCCAAATTGTATTATAACTTGAAATTTTATCCAGTAAAGAAAAGCATCCCTATTAGAAAAGCAATTCAAAGAAAGACCCTTTGAAATGGAGTCCTGGGCCAACTAAATTCTTTTTTTTTAAATTTTATTAACTTTATTGGGGTGACATTGGTTAATAAAATTATATAGGTTTCAAGTGTATACTTCTATAAACAGCTACATTCTAAATGATCAAATTCAGAATCTAATTATTCTGTTAGCAAAATATTAAACCAATATCAGAGAAAACACAGAAGTCATTCTTAAGTTCATTTGTAACAAGGCAGACCCACACAACCTTGTAAAATTGCAGCATCTCTGCTTTAGATATTTCAAATAGACACCATCTAGTGCAGGGAACACAGATAAAATCATGTGAAGTCTACATTTTAAAAAGTTTATGCTTGGTATTTCCAATCTATACATTTGTCAAAGAATGTGAGTTTTATTCTGACATATATTGTTTCACTAATAGTTTAGCAATTTATGTTCTGCATATTAAAATAGTTACAACTTTAGAGATATAAAATGTATTGTGTACCTGTTGGAAAATTTGGGTCACTTCTTTGCAATATCCAAATATACTTGATAAAAAAACTAAAATCATACAAACTTTTATAGGGTAAGAATTCTGAAACAAACAAAAAAAAAGTGTAAGGTAAGCCGTTATAAGGATATACATTAAAACAGCACTTTAGCTTCTTTATAATTTCCACAATTAAATATTTTGTTTTCCTCTTGCTTCATTTCTATGTACTGTCCAGACTGGCTTTAAGCAGAAAGTTACTGTGGTGCTAATATAAAGACAACACATACTCATTTCATACTGGCCTCATGAAGAGAGGCTCGAATATTGCAAATTGAAGTCTACAGGTAAATGAATCTGTAGACCTATGTAAAAATTGTTTTACTGTGGTAAAATACACATAATACAAAATTTACCATTTTAAAGGTTTTACTTTTTATGGGTACATTTTTAAGTGTACAATTCTGTGGCATTGAGTACATTCACAATGTTATGTCACCATCACCACCATCTAGTTCCATAACTTCTTCATTACCCCAAACGGAAACCCTGTACCCCTCTCCTGCAGTCCCTGGCAGCCACAAATCTGCTAGCATCTCATACATGTCAATTCCTTCTAAATTTATTTACAGACTCATTTATTGATCTATTTATTTATTATATCCCCCCTCCTTCAACAAAGGATTTTTTGAGAAATTGCTACTATATATGAATTCTTGTAAGCTATTTATAATAATCAAAATCCTGGTATTTCAGATTTATTATGGTGTTAGTATCTCTAAGGAAAAAAAACACACTTTTGATAACTTTATTTTAAAAAATTGAAATATGAAAATCAATGGAAAATACCTTGGTGTCTAATATTTCTAAATGATCGCTAGTTTCATTGATGATCCCAGTTGAGTTGAAAGCCATACCTGGCTTTATATTGACAACAAGAAAGGTCATAGGCAGGAGCCCAAGACAGTAAGAGCCTAGGTTCAGAAGATGGGCTCGATACCCATAAGCCAGCCTAAAAAAAAAAAGTAAATCACAATTGAGGAATTTCAACAAAAAATATTTCCTTAAGATACCTGTAGAAAAAGTTGTTATGATCGCTCTCAGAAATCTATTCATTAAATCCACTGAACTTTAGAACCAAGATCTTCAAATTCACCTTTTTCATTTTCAAAACAGGAATCTCCACTTCCCAGTAAGTCATGACTTACTTAAAATCTCTCACCAGTTAATGGAGGAGCAGAGACGTGAGCGCATCCTGGGAACACACCTCTCACTTCACTCTCCACTAAACTACAGGGATGCTTCTCATTGTCCTATAGAGTGATTCCCCCACCCTCAATATTTCGTTTAATGTAAAAAATAGTACCAGTATTTTTAATACTAAAACATTTATTTTTCAAAGTGTAAAGCATTAAAATAATAAAATCTAAAACATTAAAATATCATTAAATCATAATTATTTGGAAGATATTTATTAAATTTAATGGAGGCATCTTTGAGAAGAAATAATACTTAATACCCACCATTTCATAAGTAAATATTCTTTACACACAGGGTGGTTGAGAAGCTCTATGCGGTTATGTTGTACCATTGCCTGAGAAATAAGGAAAGATCAACAAAAATGCAATCGTATTAAACTATTGAATATAAACGTGAGCTTTTGGTTTACTGGTTTTATCACTTTTTTTGATATTGTGAAAGTAACAAGTGTTTATTTTAGAAAATTTGAAAACCCCCAAAACACATGAAGAATACATTTTCTGGAAAAAAAACACAAGCTAGAGAGAACCATTTTATACAGAGGCAAGGATTTGATTCAATTTGTCTCTTTCCGTTTCTCACTAGTTGAGCTAGCATAAGCTCTTCAATCGTATACAAAGTTACAACTGCAAAGGACATTAAAGATAAAGGAGCAAAAGCTACACCCTTAGTCCTTCCTTGAAGAAACTCAGGCTTATCTTTCTAGAAGGATACTAAATAGTCAGGTACACATAAGAGTAGTTACATTTGCCTGTAGCTTATAAATTTTCATGAGTCATTAGGAACTAATCGTATCTATTTCAAAATTAATTTTTAATTCTTCAGGAAATACACAGGGGAAGTCATGTCAGCAAGATGGCGGAATTGGAAGCCCCAGAGCCGCCTTCACCCGCGGGGACAGGAGACATCAACGTAACAACAATATGCGGACCAACTGCCTTTGTGAGAAATCCAGAAACCTGTTGAGAGGTTCCTGCAGCCCAGGTGAGCCTGTAGCCAACAAGAGACCCATCAAAGACAGTAGAAAAATTCATGGCATTTACTCCCTGTAGCTCATCCCCAGCATAAAGCAGTGACACCAGGAGAAAACTCCCAACTCCTGGCTTCTCCCTGAGGAGGCAAAGAGAAGGGTGGAACATAGGTCCAATGCTCTAACTTCCCGGGGGGCTCTCCAAGGAGCTGGTTTCTGTTAGGCCTGGATCTAAGCGCTGGCATGTCCATTGAGACTTGCAGACTTCTATGCACAATGATTTCCTATACCAGACAAGCTATCCCTCCAGGAGAACCTCACTCAGCTCTCTTAGAACTAAGGCAAGACTGTTATGTTATTAAGGCACTCTTCAGTCACGTGCTGATAAGTCACCCACTGAGTTGGTGTTTTTACTCAAGTGAGTGTGTTTCATCGAAATTATCCTGTGTCACTATTATATAGAGTCTGTTTCTTTTTTAAAGCTACAAAGATTTTATTTCCTCTTATTCTGGTGGTTGAGACAATCTCTTTCTGATAGAAGTATTGCCTGTTCTTTAAATTACAATGAAGAAAAACCCCACATACACATTCTCTAAGTATAGTTGTAGTGCCATTACTTTTAAGTCACTTGGCTATCGTCTAAGCCGTAATAACAACTGCAAAACATCATAGGCTCCAGCGGACAGCAAGTGTGAGAGTCACTTGCCATCACCAGCTGTATGGGCATAAAATCCACATGACTGCTTTCTTCACACCCGAAGTATTCAGTAAGCCTTCCAGATTTCACTTTAGGTCAAGGTCGGTACCATGGTCTGTACCAAAGGCTTTCATGTAGAGAAAAGAAGGAAGAGTCTTAATTGGTCTACACCAGCGTTGTCCAATGGAACTCTGAAATGATGGAAAGATCCTCTATCTCTGCTGTTGAATATGAGAACCACAGAACACATAGGCTCCCGATTGCTAGAAATGGAGCTACTGCAAATGGATACATGAATTTTTAACTTTATTTAATTTTAATTAATTTTAACTTGTCACATGCGGCTCATAGTTCCCATATTAGACAGCACAGATCTAGACCCTAGACCACAATTTACAAATCCAGCCCTCAGATATGTTTTCTTTTGCATGCACACAACTTTATTTGCTGTCAATATTTCTGCAAGTCTGGGCTGCCATTAACACACGGCAGCAATTTGTTGAAACTAGTAACCACTGTCCTTTTAGACCAGGTGCCCACTCATTTGTTACCTGTTTCCTCAGCAGGTATTTGAGTTTGAGGAGATCCCTGGTGTAGACTGAAGTGGGTCATTTGCATGCCTTTTAGTGCCTCATCTATTAAACATGTAAAAGCGCTCTTTGGAATAAGAACTGGGTTGGAGCAAGTGTTCTGGGATATTTGGGTCCATACTGTGCCTTTAGGGCCTCTTCTCAGATTGGGTTGACTCTTCCAGAAGGATCTAAGAGCTTCTGAAAGGTCAGAGTTCACTGTGGAGCCCAGTGGTTGGCTGAACTTTGAAACTTTGTCTGTAGAATGTCAACCCCTACATTTTCCTGGAGGAAACTCTTGGATACAATGTCTGTATTTAGGTGGACAGTCTGGGTTGTCCATGGTTTACTGGATTCTGCGTTGGGGTAGGTTTAACATGACCATTAGGACTCTTGATACAGTGTGTGGAACTTTAAGGGGACCAAATTATAGCAATTGTAGAAAATGATTGCTTTCTTTACTAAAAAATAAAGGGTTGGGCCACATGGCAGACAGACATAAAAGTATGAATCTGGTATCCTCTCCAGGCCCCTTCCTGAACGGTTGTACCAAAACATTACAGAACCGTGTGGAAACTACCCAGATAATGAAAACACTGGACTTACATTGAGGGTTCCGAGAGGCTCATATCTAACCACATCCTCTGCAGACGTTTTTCTGGTGCATTCTAATGGCCACTGGAGATATCTGAAATTATACTCGATCTGTAGGAGATATAGTTTTTAAAAATTACAGTCTAGTGTAGACCCCAAAACTGTGCTTGACAAATCACATACACAAACCTACAATTCTGTTGAAAAAATAAGTGACTCAAAGTTGAGTCATGTCCTATGAAGAAAAGTAAATTGAGTTATTACATATTAGTTTCAAAAATAAATATCCCAAAAAGCTGCTATTCGATTGATTTTTTTAAATCATAGTCATGGGAAAAGATGAATTCTCCAAAGATCACTTAGATCTTTTAGAACTTCCCAAGAGAACAGCACCCAAGAAAACAGAAAGACTAGACACAACCCTCAATTAGGCTCTTAAAAACAATTAAAATATTGGGGGAAATTGAATATCTGAGAGGAAATTCTCATAAGTAGGTAATATACTAATACAACAAGTGAAGACAATAATTACCATTTTTTGAGATTGTTACATTTTTAATATTCTTTAAAGAATTATAATAAACTACAAATTATTATGGTAAAATAAACTTACGTGGTAGTCTTGGCAGGACTTGTCTTCTGTGGAAGGCATCACGCAAAAATCTAAAAGCACCTTTCAGAGAGGAAAAATGGCTAAGATATTGGGCAGGTGACTAGACATGAGACTGCATTTGACCCCATTTCCAAAAGAACACCTGAGATATCCCCTTCCCCTTCCTTTGTTTCTGGCACCTCAGAGATAAACTCTAATCCATGTCATTCAAGAACAACATTTAAAAAACCAAATGTTACAGTTACCCTGCGTGCCTCAGAGATACTAAGTGATTCTGAAAAATACCATAGACTTCAGAAGGAAATTGTGTTTACTAAAATTTGAGTGAGAAATACTCCATTAGTTTTGCCTAAGATTTGATGTCTTGCTGGGCTTCTAGAGAATATCCAAATAGACAATGAAGGACTCCTTTGCACAGCATCTTGTACTGACCACGTATCGTCCCTAGTCAGCTTGCAGCTGAGCCCTGGAGTCTTTCTTTGGCCAAGGTGCCACGTGCCGTGCTTGAGCCTGGAGTAGGTACTGTTTGCTCCTGTACCTCCCTTGCATCAGAGTGGTGTGCACAGGATAGTGGGGGAGAGGCTGAACAAAGGGAGAGGACACTTAAGGGTCCTTAGAGCCACCCCGAAGATGTGTGGGGACAAATGTTTTTGTGGGGTCCCTGTCTAAGCAAATAATTTGTCACCCCAAATCTGTGTGTTGGCATCGTTCTGGTGGTCCAAATTCATGATCCTAAGAAAGAAATACTGCCCAGTCCGGCTGCCCATCTGGACACAAGGCCCCAGGTGACCCCCCGAGTTCCTGGAATATCTGGTCAACCCCACCTGAAGGACGAAAGGGTGAAGGGTTGGACAGCACCCTGAAGGTTGAGACTCAGGGAGCCGGGCCCCTCTGGGAGGGCTCTGCTGGCCTGGCTGGTCTCAGCACCAGGGCCTTAAAAAACTTCAAGGATATGTCATATACAAGAATAAATTCAAAATGGATTAAAGACTTAAATATAAGACCTGAGACCATAAAACTCCTTGAAGAAAATATAGGGTCAAAATTTGCAGACATTACCCTGAGCAATATTTTTACTGATACATCCCCGCGAGCTA